CGGCGCTTTCAGTTCCTCTTTTCCTCGCTAGCTGCCGCCGGTGGAGTTCGCTGGCTACGAGCTTCCCCGAAGCCCCGTGCTGACCGAACCTGACATACGACACATGTAAAAAAGAGGTGGAGTTTTCATTGCACAGTTCTGGCTGACATCTTGACTTTTTGGACCTTGTTTCCTCTCTTGGGTCGCTGCATAAGGATTCTCTACATGGACTGTTCTGGCGTTTTAGCATCCTGCAACCCCCTTTTTATTTTTCTGTCTTCGACTCATGGTTTTGCTCTTGATAGGGTTATTTATATTTGCTCCTTGGCAAGTTTATATTTGAAATCTTTTGTATTTTCTATTTTTTTGATCAACAGAGGGGAGAAGGAGGCTGGAAAAGCTCTGAATAAATAGGTTGCCTGATGCATCGTCACGATCATCAGTTAAGGCCCGTGTTGTTCAATCTTGGCAACTTTAAGATGTGCGGACTGAAGTCCACACATCTTAAAGTTGCCAAGATTGAGCAATGCTAGTTTAGGCTGTTCTCCAGCATTAAAGCGTCTTGGGGATGATGCAAATTCTCTGGCAGAATTTTACGTCCTTTCTTTCCGGCTCTGCTCCCTCGGCTTCGAACGCTTCCCTGGGGGTCTGGCGGCTGCCGCATCCGTGGGGAATGCCTCTCACTTCTCGGCCTAAAGAAGCGCCGTCCAGCTCCAAGGTGGAGGATGTGCTGAAGAGGGAAGGCGCTTAAGGCTCTTGGCACGAGGGCCCCCGCGGGGGCTTTGCTGGGAAACCTGGCTGGAGCACCAGCAGCTTTGATGCCCCCCCGCCACGTTCCACTGGTGGAAAATGGGCCCTTCTCTGGGCTTGGCTACTAGGCCGTACTATCTCTGAGAGGTGGTCGGTGGATATACAGTTTGCTTTCCTGGGCCGCGGGGCCCTGCCTGATGCCCCCCCCCCCCGTCACCACACAGGGTCAGTTCATGTGGTGTAATGGACGTATGAAGGCCAGGCTCAGGGAGATAAGCGTGTTCTTAGTCCACAGCAGGAGTGTGGGAAGTTCAAGAGGATGA